ACTGGTCAAGCCAGGATTCAGACCTAGTCTGATTCCAGAACCCACAATGTTCCACTACTTTATGATCTGTGGGGCGCTGTAGAGACCTCCATGGAAGTGATCCTGGCCTGGAGTGCTGGCTGGGTGCCCCACAGTGAGGTTCAGGAGGGTAATGTGTGTTGCTGGGGCAGGAGGAGAAGCTGTTTCAAATTGTACCCTACTCTTGGGATCAATCAGTCCCACAAAACCCACCCATGTGTGCTCTATCAGTGGGGCCATCACTCTGAGAAGCTACTTGGTATTTTCAACCTTTATCCTCAACCCCTGTCTCCCCATAACAAGCCTTGGAGTTCAGGAAGACAGGGTTCCATGGGGACACTGGACAGGAGGCATTCAGATGCTCAGCAAAACTGTGGTTTTTTCTGTGCTAACTGATCTTAACAAATACAGGGTATGACTTAAAAAACACTTCCTAAATGACTTTTTTGGGAGCTGGGCATCTCTAAGTTTAAAACATCAATATCATAATAATAAAATTCCATAGTAACATGGGCCTAAATTTTCTCCCCTTCCTGCCTCCTCCCACCACCACAAAAAGCCAAGTACCTTTTTTTTGTTGTTTATTTGTTTTGGTGCTGGGGATGGAGCCCATGGCCTTGGCCATGCTTTAAGGACACACTCTACCAGGGAGCTATACCCCCAGCCCCATTAAACACTTAATTTTTTTTACAACTATATATTTATTGGTGTGTATGCATGTGAAGGTCAGAGTTGTCTACAACTTGTGGAAGTTGGTTCTCTCCTTCCATCATGTGGGTTCCAGGGAGCAAACTCAGGTTGTCAGGCTTGGCAGTAAGTGCCTTTAAGTCACTAAGCCATCCCCTCCCACATCTCTCCCAATCAAACACTTAAGAGAGAACAGAAACCTATGCCAGGTGCTATGCAAGATCTTAGAGCAAGACTGATTTAGGTTTGACATGAAGAACTTCTGGCTGGGAAAGTGATTGCAGACTAGAATGGAATGGAGGGATCAAAGGACACACTCTGGGCTTGGCACTCCTCAAGGCCTGGGCTTGATACACTTAGCCTAGGCAAGGAAACTGCAGGTGACTCAGGGAATCTTAAATGGTGGTTGCTAGGTTACAAGCTTCTTTAATGTGCATTCAAGTAAGGACTAAAGGATGTCACCTGGCTGAGAGAAAGAGCCAGGGGGAAGGAGTAGAGAAAGGGAAAGAAGCCAGGGCTTCCAGAATTAGCAATTGGGCCATAGCCTAGAGGTATCTCATTCTTTGTATTTTTCCAAGGCTGAGTCTCTTGACCCTGTGGTCTGCGCAGAGAGATGACTGTGGATGTGAGCACTGGGCTAAAACAAGACCTGTCCCAGGCTACACTCTGGTGCTTGTCTAAGCATGCCACTCTTGTAGTTGCTGGGATCCCTTTGGGCTCTAGGCTCCTACTGTTTTGCAGTTGAACAAATGACCAGAAGACAGTTGAGAATGGAAAAGCTGGGCTTCCTTAATAATGCACAATTTGTTCATTTGTGATTTGGAATCTACAACCCACAACCCCCTGAATGACCTGTCAGTTTAAATGAAGTGCTTCCTGAGCATCAGACCCCCTCTCTGTAAAACCCAGGTGCTCACAGATGACTGGAAACTTCCCTGCAGTTGAAAATTATGAGAAAGTTGATGTTTGCAAGGGCTGAGTCTTGCTCTGGGAACTCTGCCTATCTGCTGGTAGGGGTGCAAGAAAGTTGGCCATGCTGCTTTGGTGAAGGTTCACAGACAAAGCTGAAGACAGATCCCAACAAGCCATTTGAGAAGACTCTATGGCTTCTAGTTTTTCTGGTTACCCCATGCTAGATCTGTGAAGATGATTCAGATCAAGGCAAGGATCAGCTCTATATTCCTCTGGACAGGATAGACCCCTAAGAATGGGAAATGTTTGGTGATTTCTGTGAAATTTCATTAATGTAGAGCACAGTCTTAGAATTTATGAGTCCTTACTAGAAAAAACAGAACACAGCCTCTTTCTATGGAGGTTCTAAAGTGCTTACTTTGTAATTATAAGAATATAAACTTAAAAAAGAATTGTGAGGCTGGAGAGATGGCTCAGTGGTTAAGAGCACTGACTGCTCTTGCAGAGGACCTAGGTTTGATTCCCAGCACCCACATGGCAGCTACAAACCATACTTAACTCCAGTTCCAGGGAAATCCAACACCTTCTTCTGACCTCTGCAGCACTGCATGACACGGGTGCACTCACATACATGCAGGTAATACACTCTTACACATAAAATAAAAATACTAAATAAAAATATATTTTAAAAAATATTTTATTATTTTTAGTGTATGCACGTAATTGCCTGCATGTAGGTAAGTGTACCCATGTCGTGCAATGCCTATGGAGGACAGAAGAGACTGTTGGATCCCCTAAAATTGAAGTTACAGACAGTTGTTAGCTGCCATGTGGGTAACTGTGGGTTAGCTGGGATTTGAACCTGGGTCTTCTGCAAGAACAGTCAGTGTTATCCGCTGAGCCATCTCTTCAGCCCCTAAAATATATTTTTTTAAAAAAAAAGAATAGTTAGGTCAAAAGCTCAAGACATTAAGATGGGCCTATTATAAGTTATAGCTCTTGTTTGTTACAGGAAGTCATAGTAGCATTAAGAGCACTGACAGGAATGTACTAGGCCCTTGCTCTGTGTCAGAAAGTGTAATGAACACTTGATAAATATTACCTCATTTAATCTTCACAAAAACTTACAAGGATACATCTATACCATGGAATGCTACAAAGAAATAAAAGAGAACTGCTTTCAGTGGTACATGGCCTTCAATCCTGACACTTTCGAGACTGTGACATGAGAATCATGAGTTCCAGATATAGTGGGATCATGTTTCAGAGAATACAAATTAAGGAGGGAAGGAAGGAAGAAAGGAAGGACAAAGAGGATAAATTATTGACATTTGCAACAACTTGGATGATATTCTAGGAGTTTTGGAGGTGATATGGTAGGATTTAATTTGTGTAACATTCTTTTTCTTTACCAGACAGGATCTCAAGTAGTCCAGGCTGGCCTGAAACTCCATATGTAGCCAATAATGACCTTGAACTTCTGATTTTCCTGTCTCCACCTCTCAAGTGTTGGGACCACCACACTGAGTTTTACATCACCAGGTGCCAGGTTTTATGCACTCCTGGGGATGGAACCCAGAGTTTCATGCATGCTAGGCAAACACTCTACTAACTGAGCTACAGTCTCAACTCGTTGTATGACATCGTTGAAATAACAAGATTTCAGAAATGAAATGCTAGGGGTTGGAGAGGGAAGAGCAGGACGTCCATCCTTAAACCAAATGTACAAAGATGACATTAGACCCTTGTAATGATGAAAATGTCCTCAACTTCAGTACTCTGGTTATGGGACTACACTCTAGTTTGGTAGGATGTTACTACTACAGGGAACTGAGTAGAGTATTTACTTCTTGCAACCACATGTTGAATACAATCCCAAAGTAAGAAGTTTAGTGGAGGGCTAGCTTAATGGTAGGGCACTTGCCTAGCAAGTCCACAGCTCTGAGTTGCAACCCAATACTGGGGGGAGGGGAGTTGAGGGAGCTTGGTAGAAAATACATATAAGGAAACTGAAGTTCAGAGTTATTAAATAATTTCCGGAATGACAATTCCAACCTATCAGGGGTTTCAAGGTAGAAGAAAGTCAGATAGGAGGACCTGTGGGCTTGGTAGGTGTCCTAGTTTGTTCTTCATTGCTGTGACAAAACACTCTGATCACTACCAACTTGGGGAGGAAAGGGTTTATTCAGCTTCCATCTCCCAGGTCACAGTTCATCAGGGAGCCCAAGGTAGGAACTCAGGGCAGGAACCCACTGTGACCTGGGAGATGGAAGCTGAATAAACCCTTTCCTCCCCAAGTTGGTAGTGATCAGAGTGTTTTGTTATAGCAATGAAGAACAAACTAGGACAGTAGGATAAAAGACCAGGTGGTCCACTGTGTCCTGGGCACCTCCTATGACTGGGGACTAAAAGTTCTGAAAGGCTCTTGGACGGTGGTTTGTAAAGATCATCTATCTAGCCTTATGGATTGATACTAAGGACCAGGATTTGCTAATCAGGTTTGCCCTAGATGTGTGAAGGCTGGGGGAGGTCCTCCGAGTTCTTCTATTGGTGTTCCGTTGTGGGTCCCCAGTCGGTGCATTTGTCTGTGGCTCTGAGGATATGTCTACTGAGAAAACAAGAAAGATCCGGTGTGAATTGTGCATAATTCACACTTATGAGCAGATTGTCAGATTTACGGGTCCCTGCCAAAGTGTATCCCTGCTCCTAACCTGATTCTGTGAGGTTAGACGGCCTGAGACCTCCCTCAAAGCAAAGCCAGCCTGTCAGGAACTGGGTCTGTGTACTGTAGACAAACTGAGTAATTGGGCTCTCCGCCTCCTCATCCAAAACAAACACTCACAAACGCCGCCCCCACGCTGGCGGAGTCTGCCTGTCATCCTGGCGCTGCCTCCTGCTCCCGCTTCCCGACCCAGCAGACCAGCGACCCCGGGACCTGGCCCTGCCGCCAGCCCTGCGGGGCTGACGCACCGGCCTCGGCGCCTGCCCAGGTGAGGCGGCTGCGGGGAGGCGGTGCGCGAAGCCGTGTCCCTTCTGCCCAGGCTCTGCTTCTTGCAGCCACTGGTTTGCGCTTGGGACCGCGTCGTGCGGTCCCGGGAAGGGCAGAATGCCCTGTTCCCGCTCCTCTGTTCTCCGATCCCTGCTCACCATCCCCGGTTCCCCATCCCCGGCCTCCCGATCCCCAGCTTCCCGATCCCCGGATCCTCGCTCCCCGGATCCCCGATCCTCGCGGAAGCTGTGCGCGACTGCGGGCGGCGCCCTGGAGCGAGTGCTGGGCGAGCTCAGCGCCCACGCGCGGCGGGGTCGGCTCGGCAGCTCCGGGTGACCCGGCGGGGCGGTGCCGCTGCAAAGTTGACCCCAGCCCGCCGCGCCCTGCTGCCCTTGATTCGCCCGTTCCTCTCGCAGAGCCTGGCGTGGACGCCGCCGCCCGGCTGAGACCCGAGGGACCGTGAGAAGCCGCGGGCGTCGGCGGGAGTCCACGCGGTGTGAGATGGAGACTGTGAGAGGGGCCGCGCGAGCCGGCGCCGAGTAGCCGGCGGGTCCCGGGGCTGGAACTTGCCCCGACGCTGGGCCGGGCGCGTGGACAGGGGGCCGCTGGGCTGCCATGGAGGTGCCCAATGTCAAGGACTTCCAGTGGAAGCGCCTGGCGCCACTGCCTAGCCGCCGGGTCTACAGCTCGCTGCTGGAGACAGGGGGACAGGTCTATGCCATTGGGGGATGTGACGACAATGGCGTCCCCATGGACTGCTTTGAGGTCTACTCTCCCGAGGCCGACCAGTGGACCTCCCTTCCCTCCTTGCCCACAGCGCGGGCTGGGGTAGCGGTCATCGCCCTGGGGAAGCGGATCATGGTGATCGGGGGTGTAGGCACCAATCAACTGCCCCTGAAGATTGTGGAGATGTACAATATCGATGAGGGCAAGTGGAAGAAGCGGAGTGTGCTGCGCGAGGCCGCCATGGGCATTTCTGTCACAGCCAAAGGCAAGTGGGACCAGGGTTGAGGGTGGGCCTAGAGAAGGAACAGAGGGTCATGGGGAAAACGGATGGAAACCATCTCATGGTTGGGGGGCCACTCTCACATTCTCCATCTCATTTGGTCCTCACAGTAAGCACAGAGCTGGAGACCCACTGCCCTTATTTTACAGATGGAAAAAGGAGGCTAAGCAGGTGAAATATGTCTAGGAATTGCATTTGACGCCAGAATTCTACTCCAGCAGGTTCCTCCTGGGCAGGCTACTACAGAGGGAGAGCCAAGGTGTGGGATCTGGGGTTAGCCTCAATGAATGCAAGTGCCAGCTTTCTTCTGAAAGAGCACACCTCTCACTGGCCACACTCCCCCATCTGCAGGTGCCACCACCTCCACACACCTATTTGCATTCCTAAGAATGCTCACTGCATCTTTCTACCATCATCAGGCCCTGCCAAGGAGGATTTGGGACCTGATTTCAGGATCTTCCTCCCCTTTCCCACTCCAGTGTCAGAGGTACTAAGTGAAAATCAGAATGTTCCTGGGGGCTGTGTTCTTGTAGCATATTATCCAGGTTCACAAAGTTCTCTGGTTTTGCATGTGGTTTTAGAATTCTCATTTTACTTTCCCAAAGCTCACATTTCATTCTTTTGGGACTTACCATATAGAGGGGTTCCAAAGTTCTTTTGCTAAAACATAGTTTGATAAGAATGGAAGTTAGAAGACCCCAGTTCATATGTGTTTGCCTCCACAGTGCAGGCTTGCAATATGTTTGGGGGGGAGGGGGGGTTACCTTCTTCCCTTTTCCAATCCTTCGCTCTTTCTCACTAAACTATACCAACTCCCTGTTGGTCATATGGCAGATTAGAAAGCAATTTTTCTTGAACATCTGCCCTGTCCCTGGCACAGTCTTAGACCCCAAAGAAGAAAGAAAAAGGCAGCAAATCTGGATCCTGAAAGTGATTAGAGAGAAGCTGTAGCCATAACTACAGGGCAGGGTCCAGGAGTGGGGTTTCTATGACCTGCCAGTTAGAAGAATGGAAAGCCAGGCCTGGCAATGAAGGTCTGTAATCCTACCTCCTCTGGAGAATGAGGCAGAAGAATGGCAAGTTCAAGGCCTGCCTAGGCGGCAGAATGAGTTCAGGAAGCTGAGGCAGAAGGATTATGAATTTAAGGCCAAACTAAGTTTAATACTGAAACTGTCTGAAAACAAACAAAAAGATGGAAGGTCCATAGGCTTATGGAGAGAGAATCATGAGTGCTCTCTACCCCCAGCCTCAGTAATTTACGCTGAAGGTTTAAGGTTTAACACTTACCATTGACGCTTTATCCCCTTGGACTCTCGATCTGTTCAATGACATAAGTGCTATTTTAATTCTTATTTTAGAAGAAGTAGTGTGAAGCCCTGAAAGGTTAATTTGCCAAGGTTAAACAGCAAGTAATCATGCCTGTGCTCTGAACTATAAAATCAAATGAGTTCAACAGTTAGGTTGGTAAGCATTTACATGCCAGGCATTGTACTGCATTCTGAGACTACAGATTAGCAAATTCTCAAGCACTTTAAATTTATTGGGAGAAACAGACGAAGCTGATATCATTTACTATGGCAAATAGCATAAAGACAGTACCGTCACTCAGGAGGCGCTGAGCAGAGTCCTCTGGCACCCCCCCCCCAGCTCAGGGAACCCCAGTTGAATCTGAAAGGATGGGTCAGATCTGAGCCCTGAAGCTGTAGGATTGTAGAGTGAATGAATGAAGCTTTCCCAGGGGGAGGTGTTTTTAGAAAGGAGGGTGGAACTTGTGCTAGGTCAGTTGCTCATCATCAGGCCCTTTCTCAACCTTAGGCTTAGGGCTAGCAGTCCCTTCCAGTAAAACTGGAAAGTAAAGGGAAAGAAGACTCACCTCCTCAAAGAGTAAAGGCATGGTAGAGTAAAGGCTGTGAGGTATGAGTGCTAAGAGAACCACACACAGAAACTGAGGATCCCTGAGAGAGAAGACCCACCCAGGAGATATAGGAGAAGCCAGGAAACACAAATGCCTAATTCACCCTCTCTGGTGCACTGTGCCAAAAAGTCCCTAAAAAGCCACCTACTGTCAGGAGCAGAAGAGAAAGCAGGGGACTTGATGCTCAGAGTGCCCAGGTCTCTGGGGTATGGTTTCTGAGGGTTCCCCAAAGCCTCACCCTTATTCAGCCCAGGTCTTAGCCCATCAGCACAGGTGTCTCCCAGATCCTGCAAACTGCTTCATTTCTACAAGAAGAGGCCATTCCCCTGGGGTGGCAGACAGAGCCAGAGGCAGTCCAGTATCCCCCACAAGGCCAGTGACGGCAGGGTTGACTACAGTTCTAAAGGTCCTTGCCATACCTGGAGAATCAGTGTCTGTGAATTCCTGGGGAACAGGTCACCACTAGGGGCATTGCTTAGAACCCCATCCTCTTGGCGTTCTCCTCTGGCTGCCTAGAAAGGAGGACAGTGGAAGGACAAAGCTACAAAGGATGACTTCAGTGTCATCTGTCTCTGCAGGGTTTAATGTTTCAGGCTTTGCACTTGGCACTAAGGAAGGCTGAGGAACACATCCCTGCCATGACTTCAGAAAAGACCCAGGTTCAGCCCAACAGGGAGTTTGAATGGTGCCACCCTCCTCACTAAAATAGTTGTGATTCCCAGGCAGAGAATTCACTGGGAACTTGGACTGGCCAGTGACAGGTGATGGGTGCTGGTGGGTCAGTTTCTGGGTGCCTGCGAGTTAAGCCAGGGCTGTATGTGGCCTTTATTTCTTAGATTATCGAGTGTATGCGGCAGGTGGGATGGGCCTGGACCTTCGTCCACACAACTACTTACAACACTATGACATGCTCAAAGACATGTGGGTGTCACTAGCACCCATGCCCACCCCAAGATATGCTGCCACCTCCTTTCTCCGGGGCTCCAAGATCTATGTGCTGGGTAAGGATGAGTTACCTGTTGCTTATTTCCTCTCCTTGCTCCCTTGGGTCAGTTCCCTGGAAAGTGGTACCCATGGGTTGAGAATTTCCTTGGCCCTGGGGGATAATCATGCTGCCCTACTTCTCGAGGAGCCTCCTAAATGACCGAATAACAAAAGGGAAAAGCTAGCCCTGTCCTCAGAGGGACTACTCTTCTGCCCACCCTGCATCCTGCTCCCATCTCCAGGGGGACGACAGTCCAAGTATGCAGTCAATGCCTTTGAGGTCTTTGACATTGAGACTCGGTCCTGGACCAAGTTCCCCAACATTCCCTGTAAGCGGGCCTTCTCCAGCTTTGTGACCCTGGACAACCACTTGTACAGCCTGGGAGGCCTGCGGCAGGGTCGTCTGTACCGGCAACCCAAGTTCCTGCGGACAATGGACGTGTTTGACATGGAACAAGGTGAGCTAAATGCTTTCACAGAGTGCCGCATGGAAACTCTGGCTGCTTGCATCCCTTCTGATCGATCTCCGCTTTCCCCATCTCAGCCATCTTCCTGGAGCCACTTACACATCAGGCAGGCCTCTGTGGAGTCTTCATCATGACCATGCTTGTTTGCTTTGGCGTTTTGTTGTTGTTTACAATATCCATGCAGGCCAGATCAGAAATGGAGAATTAGAGGGATCTTGATTTCCTCCACTTACCACCTCTAGTCATCTAGCTTCCTCTGCACTTGAGAGCCTGGGAGGACCAAAGCAGAACAGGGGGATCATGGTGGGACTTGTGTACCTTAGATTGTAGCAGGCACCAGCGAGGGCTGAAGTGCCAGAGGGTGTCATTTCAACCAGCAGGGAGCACTTTATGCACATAAGAGTCAGAGGAAGGATTGGCCACCCAGGGTAAGAGCCACTTGGGATTCATCTGTACTTGTTAGGGGCCACTAACATCTAATCCTCTGTCTCTGTCCTGCCAATACTCATGGCTTGCAGGGGGATGGCTGAAGATGGAACGCTCATTCTTCCTCAAGAAGCGGCGGGCAGATTTTGTGGCCGGGGGTCTCAGTGGACGGGTCATAGTGGCTGGGGGACTTGGTAAGATGATGCTTCTTAGCTGTATGATGTTGTGATTCTGATGTTCATATCCTTGGCACTTTGTATGAGCAAAGGTGGTATTGGCTTCTTGTGCACCTCCCACTGCTTTATTCTAAAGAATTCAGCACAGCCTGGACTTGGCCTTTCCACATTAGGGGCCCCACATATATCCTTTCAATTCTGCACCAGGAAAACTAAGAAAAAATAAGGGTCATGCTGATAACCATGAACCCCTGTGCTGAGTTCAGATTCCTGGGTCCCTTTCTGAGGATCACTGAAGTCAAAGGCAGAGGGATCAGTCTTTGTCTTTCACTGACCCAACTCTTCTTGGATATCCAGCTGTATCTTGGGATAGGAAAGCATATGATCAAATTAATTGTTCAATTCTGCATCTGATGTATGAACTCTCCTGAAAGATCGTTGGGGTTTTGAAGGATGCACCGGGGACAGGGAGTGTACTCAGGTTATTAGGGCAGTGAAACAGGCAGTGGGGCTTCCAGAAAAATCAAAGTTTACTCAGCATAGACATACTCCCACTGTACTCATTCATAAAAGACCATATGAGCTAGACCAAGGGGGTGGGGCAAAATCAAGAGAGAGTTAGTAGTGTTCTAGAAACTTCTGATAAGCAAGGATAGAAAAAGCAAGCTTGGGGCTGGAGAGATGGCTCAGCAGTTAAGAACACTGGTTGTTCTTGCAGAAGATCCAAGTTCGAATCACAGCACCCACATGGCAGCTAACAACTGTCCGTAACTCCAGTTCCAGGGGATCTGATGGCCTCTTCTGTCCTCCTCGGGCATTGGTGCACTTACCTACATGCAGGCAATACATGCATACACATAAAATAACAATAATAAATAAAATATTTTAAGAAAAAGCAAGCTTATTCTTTTTTAAAAATTTTATTATTTTTATTTTATGTGTATGAGTATATTGCCTGCCCAAGTATAAGTGCACTGGTGTCTTACAATACCCTCAGAGGTCAGAAGAGGGTGTCGGATTCTCCCTGGAACTGGAGTTTTAGACAGTTGTTTGCTGCCATGTGGGTGCTGGGAATCGAACCCTGGTCCTCTGCAAGTACAGCCAGTGTACTAACCGCTGAGCCATCTCTCCAGCCCCAGAAAAAGCAAGCTTATTTTCTTTTTCCTTTGGTCTTTTTTTTTTGAGACAGGGTCTCCCTGTAGCCCCAGCTGGCCTGGAACTCACTATGTAGACCAGGCTGGCCTTGAACTCACAGAGATCTGCCTGCCTCTGCCTCCCAAGACCTGGGATTAAAGGCGTGTGCCACCACACCTGGTACAAGCTTATTAAGATGAAGAGAAAGAGAAAAGGCACAAGGGGCAAAGTGGCTGCTTGACAAGAACCATGGTGAAGAGGGGGCCATCTCGTAGCCAAAGATAGTGAAGCTGCTTGGCTTTTACTTCTGTGTTGGGAGATGGTCACTATGGGACATGGATTGATGGTTGGCCTCCTTGATCTAAGATCTGATTCCCCTGGTGTTTTTAGGAAACCAACCCACTGTTCTGGAAACAGCAGAAGCATTCCACCCAGGAAAGAACAAATGGGAGGTCCTCCCTGCCATGCCGACACCCCGCTGTGCCTGTTCCAGCATTGTCATCAAAAACTGCCTCCTGGCTGTGGGGGGCGTCAGCCAGGGTTTGAGTGACGCAGTAGAGGCACTGTGTGTCACTGACTCCTAGCTGGCCTGAGCTGTGCCTTTGCTTGGACTGTATCACTCTACTCCTGACTTGAGGATGGTCTCATCAAAGCAGTTTGGGCCACTTCCTGGGACACCAGCTCTTGTTAGCAACCAGTGGGGTCAAGCCCTGCCTGGGGCTCTCAGTGACCTCCCTCCACCCGCCAAACCTACCAATCCCAGAAAGCTGAAGAAAATGTGGATGACTCCACCAGCCCCAGATAGAGCTGGGTTGTTCATTAGGGAGAATCCTCGCTCAGTGTGCAGGCACAGAAAAGCACAGGATGCTCCTTCCTCTCATTCATCTCTGAGGGGTGATGGGGCAGGTGCCACTCAGAGAAGGACTGCCATTGTCCTTCCCCAGTTCTCACCTAGTTTGAGTGTCTGGAGATAAACTAATGAAGAATGGGCCATCTCAAGCCCTTTCCTTTGGTTAACACCTGTTCCCCGTTTGGTGGTCAGCAGTGTGCCTGCCCCAGCCTTCACTTACTCATCAGGAGTTAGACTTGAAGCTAGAGCAGCTGCATAGAGGGAAGTTGGTGGTTCATACTCAAGACCAGGCCAACAGCCTTGGCAGGAAGGATTCCCTCCTGGGGTCCTTGCTGGACATGTATGATGGAACATCTGCTTCCTGCATCTTCCCTCTGCAATTTGCCTTCTGCCACCCTCTCCCTACCTAAGGCCTGGCCATTCTGTGCCCAATAGCTCCCAGAGTGTTTCTGGGTGAAACCTTCTCATTTACACTGTGGCATCCCAATCCACAAAGGGTGGATTCATTGCACTCCGGTTAATAACAGCAGCACAATGACTGAGATCTATATTCCTGTCTTCCTTGGCGCCCTCTGGGGACTGGACGGGGTGTTCTGATGAGTAGGTAGAAAATATCCTGAGACAATCCCCTTGAGTTGGCCACCTGTGCTTGACTGCTCCTGTTGAAGAGTTCCACCTTCCCTCAGCCACAGCTGTCCCACTCCCAGAAAGGCAGCTGATTTTCTTCTCTTGTACACACACGTCAGTCTTCACCATGTTTACTCACATGGCAAACCTCACTTAATTCAGCTGAAGCTCATTTTAGGCTTAGAAAGAACTGTTGGGTGACTTATGGCCTTCCCTCTAGCCTGCACAGCACCTCTGTGCTTCCACTTCCCAATTATTCTTACCAGTCTAGGATGTGGCTCAGGGGAAGAGCACTGGCTTAGCATGCACAGGGGCCTGAGTTCCATCTCTAGCACAGAAACCAAGACAAACTACCTCTGCGCTAGCACTGGGGGGACAAAGAATAAAAACCCCTGCCCCCAGGCTGTGGGAGAGTCAGGGAAAGCTCTGTTCTCCATCTTCACAAGGCTGAGGTAGTTTAATGACCTCTTGGGGAGCCAGAGCTAAAGGATGGCCTATCTGGATCTGAGGAGCCAAAAGGAACCTCCTGGTACATGGCTGGGGACGGAGGCGGGAGCACTTTCAGCTGGATCTTCAAGGACTAGTGGAGCCTGGGTCCTTAAGGAATGAGATTATCTTCCTTTCTCCCAGTACCTTGAATTTATTGGGTTCTTTAGGTTCCAGGAAGACACTGCCACCTGCTGGCCCAGAATTTTCTTTCCACCAAGGTGAGGAAGCAGATTGTAGCCCTGGGTGCCCCTTAATGAGCAGACCACAAAGAGGCCTCCATTGCTTATGGAGCTGTTTCCCTATAGCCCCCAGAACTAAACATTAGAAAAAAGGGTTGGAGGAATTGCAGGCACTATGAAGGTCCAGCTTCTTGAAAAAAGCTGATTCACAACTGCCCCCCTCCCTACCCCACTTCCATTTCTGCCCTGCCCATATCCTTCCCAACCCAAGAGAGGCCAAGCCTTACAGGACTTCTCTCTAATGCATACATGGCCCCTATGTATGGATAGAGCTGAAGCATTTTAGGATAGTTAGAACCTTAGGGGTCCAGACAGTTCTTTAAGGTTGAATTAATTTGTCATTGGAACTTATCAGAGCAATGCAGGGCTGTAGCTGGGACCTGCTGGGAACACCCCTGGCAGAGGCCCATGGTAGGACGACTGGGGGGTGCCTGAGGAATGAGGGAAGCCTTCCAGGTCAGTGTTGAAGCTTGTGATTCTATACTGCTCTCACTGCAGAGGTAGCACTATCAAGTCAATGGCCTGCCTCCAGGCCTCACTCCAGCTTCCATAGGTTCCCTACCCCACTATGGTGGGAAGGTCGCTTACCTTCCTTATCTTAATTTCCCAGTCTGTCTTACAGAGTAGCAAAGCCCCTGTTCCAGTTCTCTGATTATCTCTGAGGCAGGTCATCTCCTGTTTTGAAATGAGACAGTTGGGTATCTAAGAAGTTGTATAACTTTCCCAGGAGGTATAGCTAGTAAACAACTGAACCAGGTCTGATTGCAGCTTGTAGGCACAGCATTGTATTGCACTAGCACTTGGAAAGACAAGACCAAGTGTTCTATGTACAGAGTTCAGAAGGTCCAACCTGGAAAGAATGGACACTGCTTCAGAGTATGAGCATAGGCCATTCCTAAAGTTATAGTTCTGCAAAGTTTCTGTCTAACATGTTTATTCCATTGGTTAATACCTATTACAAGCTTGCATGGTGCTAGATGGAGAATTCCTGTCCTCTAGCACTTACAGGCTTAGGTGGAAAACAATGGACCAAGTCTGCAATCACATGTGCTCAGTGTCAGCTTTTGCTAGTGCAACATAAAGCCCCAAAGACTAAGCCAGGCCAGGGCAGGTTATTGGAAGAAAAAGTCTCAAGTGCCAAAAAAGAAGAGGGAAGCCAGTCAGGATTTGAAGCAAGAGCAAAAATCATGTCAGGATGATCCTCCTTGATTTTGGGTACATTTGGCCTCTCTGATTATTTCTTTATTGGTAAAATGGGAAAAATCAAACATCCCTTTATATGAGGCTAAGAGCTACTTAGGATTTTTGCTCTGTTGGGCAAGCAGCTGCAGAATTGCTTTAGCTGTTGTTAAAGGAATTGTTCTCAAGGCCAGATGTAGTGTGGGAAACAGGGAGGTAGAAGCAGGAGAATCCCTATGCTCAGGAGTTTGATGCCGATCTGGGCACTGAAAGAAAGGGCTTGGCTTATGGGGAAGAGCATGTGGAATGCAGGGGAGCTCTTGGGGATATGGACTGCAGACACAGGTCAGCAGATCTAGAAAGGCCTTTTGCTTCTCTTGCTGAAGCAAGGAGTCTGGACTTCATGCATGTGGAAAATGAGCAAATGAAGGTTTCAAGCAGAGGGTCAGATTTGCAGGAAGGTATGGGACCCTCTGAATTCTGAGGACAATGAAAGAGGAGGAAACACTAAGGCACCATCTAGGGCCAGGAAGAATCCCATGTAGCAGGATTCCTGGTATAACATGTTGGCCATACTTTCCAGGTCTCTCATGCCAGTCCATCTGCTGAACAATCAGGTAGTCCCAGGAGGCTTCTGAATTATAAGAGAAGAGACTAGTTCATGCCTACACTGCTTCATTTCCTCCAGGGTTTCTAACAGTCTCTTGCATTTGCATTGAACCTATGGAGTCCTCCCCAGCTCCTGCACAGGAGGAAGGATATGGTCACCTTTCCAACCCCTGCTTTACAGAAGAAACTGACATCTAAGCACACTGAATCCAGGTGGTGCAGTTGATAAGGGATGAAAATCTGACCCTGCTCTATGGGCAACACACACACACACACACACACACACACACACACACCACACTACTGTCTCTTAGCTCTGCAGTAAAGGGAATGGCAAAGGAGTTCATGTATGAATCCCAACCCCCTGGGATCTACAAAACAGGCCCAAAGCCAGAGGCTTAGAGGTGTGGCTTTGGTGAGATCAAAGGTTTACATGAGAGAGAAAATGTTGTAGTAGTGACCCTGGCACAAGGTAGGATTCAGGCCAAAGAGGTAGGCACACAAAGTAGCTTTGGAAATTTGGGCACATAAAAAACCACAGGCATTCGCTTTCCAGGGTTGCCCTAAGGAAAATAACAGACTAGGGGGCGGGCTGGGAAAAATGGAAAATTTTGGTCTGGAGGTTAAATGTCTGAAATCAAGGTGTTGGAAGGGCTATGCTCTGACTGAAGGATGTTGGGGTGGAGGGCTAGGAGGGACCCATCCCTTCTTGGCTCTTCCTAACTGGGTGGTGCCTGAAAATCCTGGGTATTCTTTGACTTGTGACAGCATCACTTCAGTCTCAGCCTCTGTCTTCACACAGCCCGCTTCTGCATGACCATGTACAAGGTTCCCTAACCTTAGAAGCACAGCAATCACTGGACTGAGGCCCATCATATCCAACATAGCTTCACTTTAAGGCGATTATATCTGTTTCCAAGTGAAGTCACATTCTTAGGTATTAGAGATTAGGACTTCAATGTATGGATTTGGAGGGACACAAGTCAACTCACACCACCATACCAAGGGTGTTGAGTAGAGGTGGAAAAGCAAGAATCCCCTGGGGCCCGATTCCTAGCATCAGCCCGTTGTTAGAACTGGGCCTCCTGAGAAGCGCGCAAGAGTGCCAAGGAGCACACAGCTGGGCCATGCCTTGCAGAGACCAAGGTAAGCAGCGTTTGAGTAGACTTGAAAGGGAATTGAGGCCTGGAGAGGAGTGGCTGGAGCTAGTGCTTCTCAGACCTTGTCCCTCTCTGGCCACAATGCCAGAGGATGGAGGAATAATCCCTGAGGGACAAGGAGAGCCAACTGGCTGCCACGGCCTTTCGTGCCCTACATTAACATCAAGTAGCGTTTGTGTCCTCCCCTGTAGTGTCATCTTTGTTTAATGGCTTGTACTATAGTCTGTTTTGCCAAGCACTAAAGTTACATGAGCTCAGAGGCAGCTGTGTACCTGCCTCCCAGAAGCCCAAGAGCTCTCATTCCTGACTGCATGAAGCAAAGCATTCAGAGTCCACCTTCACCAACCCAGGTAGCATAACTCTTGAGGGTGAGCCCGGCAGGGCAGACCAGCCACCTGTGTGCTTTGGCTGCCTTACACCAGCTTCTGCATCTAACACCCTGGGGGGCCCCACTTGTCTCACACCCCCACCCCCACACATCCGCCTTCTCTCTCTCCCACTTGCACCCTCGCTCCAGCTTACACACCCTATCTTACACAAGACACACCTCCAGGTACACACTTGCATATCTACATGTGCATGACCGTGCATGCTCATACTGTACACTGCCACTGTCTTTACAAACACAGACACACTCACACTTACAGACATCTGTTCACACACACAGCTTTGTTCTCACTCTTATGTGCATACTTTCAGGTGCCCAGACTTAGGATCCTTTGAGCTTGACCATTTGGCCCTACTACCAAGCTCAAAATCCTTATCGTTGGACAGATATGCTGCTATAGATTCCGTACTTCTCTCTGCAGGATCATTGATTGCCCTGGATTGTTCCCACCTCTGCCCCCTCCTAGAAGAACCCCATGCTACAGTCTGCCACTGCGGCTACAGAGACTTTTTGCATCAGGCTAAAGCTAGGGTCTCTGTTTTACGAGGAAACAGGCCCAAAGGTATCTGCGGGGAAGGAGAGCCTGGCAGTCCCTACTTACCTTCTCTGTCCAGCACCTTGCTGGTACCTGGCACAGAGCCAGTACATGATTACAGCAGTGTATTTAGCAAGTGAACAACAGATGACTCCCTAGAGGAAGAACGAGAAAGATCTAGTGCCTCAGCCCCAGCTCCTCAGTTTCCTATTTTTTTAATTTTTATTTATCTAAAAAATTATTTATTTTGATTTTATGTATATGAATGTTTTGCCTGCATGTATGTAAGTGCACCCATGTAATGCAATGCCCGTGG